AACTCCCCCTCCCCTTCTCTGAAAGGAAATAAAAGCTGGCTGGAAGCGAAGGAGGTTTAAGTAGCTTTTTTTCCTTGCTGGAAGCAGTTGAGCAAACAAACAAACTTGGTTTGTTTGGGAAACCATGATTGACTGGGCTTGATATAAACCGGGTTTGGAATGGCGTTGATGTTCAAGGACCACAGACAGCCTTGCAAGTACAGATGGTCCTCGACTTATGACGATTCGTTTAGTGACCGTTCACATTTATGACACTGAGTAAAGTGATTTATGATCATTTTTCGCCCACTTATGCCCATTGCAGCATCCCCGTGGTCACATGATCAAAATTCAGATGCTTGGCAACCGACTCATATTTATGACGGTCGCGGTGTCCCGGGGTCACGTGATCCCCTTTTGCGACCTTCTGACCAGCCAAGTCAAGGAGGGAAGCCGGGATTGACTTAACAACTGTATTCCTAACTGAACAATCTGCAATGATTCACTTAACAACAGTAGCAAGAAAGGTTGTAAAGTGGGGCAAAGCTCACTTAACAACTGTCTTGCTTAGCAACAGGATCTTTGGGCTGAATTATGGTTATAAGTCAAGGACTAGCTCAGGGGGCGGCAACCTTAAACACTCAAAGAGCCATGTGGACCCGTTTCCCACAGAAAAGAAAACACCGGGAGCCACAAAACCCTTTTGTCGTCTAAAATGAAGATAGCACTGCATATATCCAATTTCTCACCACATATTAAGCATATTGGTAAACAAGTCTTGTCAGCAGTGAAAGCAAATAAATCTGCCCACATACCATTAAATGTTCTACTTTCTTCGGAAACTTTTCTTTTCTTGGATTTATCCATGGTTGGCCTACTGGGGGTCGAAAAGCTCAATAAATCGCGTGCCAGCGGGTGTCACACATTGGTGGTGATGACACATATTTTGAGTGACAGGGAGCCACAGCAGAGGGGTGAAAGAGCCACATACGGCTCCAGAGCCACAGGTTGCTGACCCCTGGACTAGCTGTAACCTAGTTGGCTTTCAGGACCACGGATAGCTCCACAAGTAACTGCGGTGGCTTTCAGAACCTCAGATAGCTCCACAAGTAACTGCGGTGGCTTTCAGGACCACAGATAGCTCCACAAGTAACTGCGGTGGCTTTCAGGACCTCAGATAGCTCCCAAGTAACTGCGGTGGCTTTCAGGACCACAGATAGCTCCACAAGTAACTGCGGTGGCTTTCAGGACCTCAGATAGCTCCACAAGTAACTGCGGTGGCTTTCAGGACCACGGATAGCTCCACAAGTAACTGCGGTGGCTTTCAGGACCACGGATAGCTCCACAAGTAACTGCGGTGGCTTTCAGAACCTCAGATAGCTCCACAAGTAACTGCGGTGGCTTTCAGGACCACAGATAGCTCCACAAGTAACTGCGGTGGCTTTCAGGACCTCAGATAGCTCACAAGTAACTGCGGTGGCTTTCAGGACCACAGATAGCTCCACAAGTAACTGCGGTGGCTTTCAGGACCACGGATAGCGATAAGGTGCACATCATTGGACAAAGGCCACTAATAGAATCATAGAATCCTACGGCTGGAAGGGACCTTGGAGGTCTTCTAGTCCAACCCCCTGCTCAAGCAGAAGACTTCATTCCATTCTGGCCAAATGGTTGTCCAATCTTTGTTTGAAAACCTCTTGGAAAGTCTGTGGAAATCAATGCATTGCTTGGAAGAAACCAACATGGGTTTTTCAAGGAGGAATAACAGAATAAAATAACAGAATAGCAGGAGGGATGGCACCTGAGCACCTTTAATTGAGGAGTCTATCCTGACTTCAGCAAAGCCCCCCGTCAGAGCCTCGTCAAGAAAATGATTCCTGCTCAGAAGATTGACAGTTGGAGGAGACCTCTCTACTTATTCGACTTGCGTTTTTGCAAATGGATAGCCCTAAAAATGGAGGTCGTCCTCCTTTGTTTAGCAGCTACAAAGTTACGATGACACTGAAAAAAGGTGACTTACGACCGTTCCTCGCACTTACGTCTGCCGTTGTGTCACGTGATCAGTATTCAGATGCTTGGCAACTGACTCGTATTTATGACGGTTGACGTATCCTGGGATCATGTGATTCCCCCTTTGGGAACGTCTGATGAGGACAGTCAAAGAGGAAGCCAGATTCACTTAACGTCCATGATTCATTTAAGAACTGCAGTGGTTCGCTTAACCACCATGGCAAAAAAGGGTCATAAAATTAGGCCCGATTCCCTTAACAACCAACTTACTTGACGACAGAAATTCTGCTCCTGGTTACGGCCATCAATTGAGGACTCCCTCTATAAGTGCAGTTCAAACCATGCAGAAAAATTGGGGTGAGCTTTAACCCAATTTGGCCAAATGCTATGGAATTGGACGGGGAGAGAGACGTAGAGCTGGGGAAAAGGGAGCCAGAGTGAAAGAGAGATCTCTAATTGGTGGCAATATTTCCTAATTTAATCACTAATGCCTCCTGGCAACCAAGGACATCACCTGCCTCCCCAGCTGGAAGTGAATTTGTGAACACACGGCCCACCTTCTTCCTCTCCTGGGGGCCACCTTCACCCCCAAATTTGCCTGTGGGAGGCGTTCGCAAACATCCATCCGTCTTGCTTTTCTCCCTGAGGGAAGCCAAATCAAGACAGATCTTCCCGCCCTCCCTCCCAAAATACCAAAGGGATAGGAAAAGAAGAAGAAAAAATAAGCCAAACATCTGATCCCTAATGTTGTTTATAGTTATGACCTTTAAAACATGCCTCTACACAGTGTTAACAGGGAAAATGTGCTCTAATTGAAGGAAAAAAGAGAAGGATTTAGCATTTATGGGCATTGCAATTTGGCCTGGACTTTCCTGCCTGCAGTTCATTTCTTGGATAAATGGCTAAATTTGTATTTTTTTTTTCCTTTGCTGCTAAAAGACTATTCCTCAATCTTTTCCTCCTTCTTTCCAATGTATTAAAAGCTGGAGATGCCAGCCTTTTTCTCCTCCCACTCCTGCATATTAAAAACTGGAAATCCTTTCTTAATTTTCTGGGCACATAGCAAAGCTGTTGCAATCAGGCTGACTGGAGTACCCCAACATATAACACCGGGCAGTCTGCCCGAGAACCTTGTCCTCTCCTATCCGACGGCGAGGGAAGCATTAATCTTATTAAATGAGCATGCATTATTGCTCTTTTAAGCAGGGTGGATAGTGTGGGTATTATTTCGTGCCTCCTGGAAGCACCGAGTTGGCCCTGTCCATTTGTATTTATTAAACGAAGGCGAGGCTGAAGGAGACTTTTGAAAGCAGCTTGGAAAGGAAAATCAAAATTAATGCAAGCTCTTGTGTTAAAAACATCCAGGGTTGGGGCACCCACAACTTCTGGTAGCAAGCTGTTCCACTGATTAATTGTCCTTGCTGTCAGGAAGTTTCTCCTTAGTTCCAGGTTGCTTCTCTCCTTGATGAGTTTCCATCCATTGCTTCTTGTCCTGCCCTCAGGTGCTTTGGAGAACAGGCTGACTTCCCTCTTCTTTGGGGCAGCCCCTCAAATATTGGAAGACTGCTCTCAAGTCACCCCTAATTCTTCTCTTTGTTAGATTAGGCACACCTAATTCCTTTTCAGAACCACTAGGAGAACCCTCAGCAACGTAAACGGATTGGGGTCACCAAGCTGTTACTTGGTGAGTCTGAATTCTCTATTGCTGGTGGCCAAAAGCCCCAATGCAATCAATCAATCAATCAGAATGCAGAGCTGGAGGGAACCTTGGAGTTCTCCTAGTCCAACCTCCTGCTCAAGCAGGAGAGAGACCCTCTATTATCCTGGAGAAATGGCTGTCCAGTCTCTTCATGAAAATCTCCAATGATGGAGCCTCCACAACTTCTGGTGGCAAGCAGTTCCACTGGTTAATTGTTCTCATTGTTAAGAAATTTCTCCTTGGTTCTAGGTTGCTTCTCTCCTTGGTTAGTTTCCATCCATTGCTTCTTGTTTTGCCTTCAGGTGCTCTGGAGAACAGGTTGACCCCCTCTTCTTTGTGGCACCCCTGAGATATTGGAAGATGCTACCATGTTGCCCCCTAATTCTTCTTTTCATTAAACTAGGCATAAACTAGACATGGTTAGACATGAACATTCCAGCATCTGTGATATTTGAATTTCTTTCCCATATTCAAAAGTCAAGAGGAGTCAGGAGTCTCTTATCGTCAATTTATTCCCACCAGAAAACTCTGGGGCCACCTCCGTTCTCACCTCCCGCTCGGCTGCTGACACACGAACTTATTTTAGCTAACTTTTGGCTTGCGTTCACCTTATTTGCTGGTGTTCTTTCTTGTTTTAAAGGTAGCTTTCCAATTTTCTGCTGCCCGGAGTTTATTTAATAAATATAATTGAGTTAGTTGATCTTCTTGTTCTACGTAATGGCCCCTTGAGGGAATCCTGGCTGGGAACAAAGGATGCTTTGGAATAAACAAAGACATCAATCAAAGAGGGACATGCATGGACCAAACCCAAGAGATCTGGATGCACGATGAAGTGATGTGGTAATAAATAAATATATCCGGGTTTTGAAATGTGGCACCTTTTAATTGATTGATTGGAAACTGAGTCAAGAAAAGAAGGTGGAGAAACCCAAAGATTGGAGATTGTTTGCAAGGGGTTCTGTGGGGAGGGGAAGCCCCACATTTTGCAGAAGGTGTCTGAAAACAAATGAAGGAGGAGTTGAGGGGTGCTTGGTGCTCTCTGAGCTGGGTTGTTTTCTTGCAGATGTTTCATTGCCCAACTAGGGAACATTACCAGGAAGGAGGAGGAGCAGGAGGAGGAGCAGGAGGAGGAGCAGGAGGAGGTGAGGGTGGGTGGTGAAGAAGGGAGAGAGGGAGGGGAAGAGTGGGGAGGCGAAAACAGGAAAGAAAGCAGGATGGATGGATGGATGGGTGGGAAGGAGGGAGGAACGGAGGAAAGAAGGAAGGAAGGAGAAAGCAGGAAAGAAGGCGGGATAGATGGATGGATGGATGGAAGGAAGGAAGGAAGGAAGGAAGGAAGGAAGGAAGGAAGGAAGGAAGGAGAAAGCAGGAAAGAAGGCAGGATGGATGGATGGATGGATGGATGGAAGGAAGGAAGGAAGGAAGGAAGGAGGAAAGAAGGCAGGATGGATGGATGGAGGAGAACCTGCTCCCTCCCCCGATCCAGCCCTGAGCAACCTGACACCCCCTACTCCCCCACCTCCGCTAGTCACGCAGATCCTGGAGAACCGCCTGGCAGGTCATTAAAATCTCGGTTTGCCGACATCTCGTCTCGGGGATGAGAGCTAATCACTAAGCTAAACCCTCCCTTCTGCCGGGATGAAAAGACTACAAAGCCCATCAGGCAGGCAGGCAGGCAGGCAGGCAGGCAGGTGCTTGGCGTGGGCGGCACCCCCCGGGTCTCTCTGGCGTCCTCTGTTTTCCTTTTTTTCCCTGGACACGGAACAAGGCGCCCTTGCTCGGCTCAGCCTCTAATTAAAGCGCCCGTGAACTTCCCCTGCGTGGGCTGGCAGCTGTGCGGGTTTTCTTCGCTCTCTCCACATTGCAGGCTGATTTGCCTCTCCCCCCCCCACCACCTTCTCCCCTTCGGCTTGACAAGCCGACATCCGGAAGATGGAAAGCAGGGGCTTCGTCTTTTCTTTTTTTCCCCCCTCCCTCCCTCCCTCCCTTCCCAGTAAATCAATATTACTTATTAGTTCCCCGATGCCAATTCTTTATTGCGGGAGGAAATCTCGACGGGGAAATGGTGCTGATGGGGAGAGAGAGCTCTCTGCCTAAAGGAGGGGATTGTTTGTCTGGAATGGTACAGGGTCGCCTGCCCAAGTGGCGGGTTGGACTAGACGACCTCCAAGGTCCCAAGGTCCCTCTCAATGAGTTCGTATCTATTTTTAAAATGGTCCCCCCAAAAATGTAGCCCCAAATTTACAGATTCAAGAGTTGCCAAACATTATTTGGTGTATTCTTACTACTGTGAAGCAAGGGTGTGAAGGCCAAAAGGCATGAAGGGAGGAAGAAGAGGAGGACGAGGACGAGGAGAGGAGGAAGAGAGGAGGGGAGGGAGGGAAAGAAAGAAGGAAGGAAGGAAGGAAGGAAGGAAGGGGACAGAGACAAAAGAGGGGAGGGGAGGGAAGGAGGAAGGGGAAGGAGAGAGGGAAGGGAGAGAAGGAAGGAACTGAGAGGGAAAAAGGAAGCAAGTGGAAGAAGGGAGGGAGGAGAGGGAGGGAGTAAGGAAAGAAGGAAGAGGGACAGAGACAAAAGAGGGGAGGGGAGGGAGGGAGGGAGGAAGGAAGGAGGACAGAGACAAAAAAGGGGAGGAAGGAAGGGAGGGAGGAGAGGGAGGGAACAAGGAAAGAAGGAAGAGGTCAGAGACAAAAGATGGGAGGGGAGGGAGGGAGGGAGGGGAGGGAAGGAAGGAACTGAGAGGGAAAAAGGAAGCAAGTGGAAGAAGGGAGGGAGGAGAGGGAGGGAGTAAGGAAAGAAGGAAGAGGGACAGAGACAAAAGAGGGGAGGGGAGGAGGGAGGGAGGGAGGGAGGGAGGAAGAAGAAGAGAGGAAGAACAGAGGGTAAAATATTGGATCAAATTGTCTTTTTTTGACATTCAACATGGCTGCTTAATGGTATAGAAGGCATAATAAGTACATTTCTTAATGTCTTAATGGGGGGAACCTTCATTCCAGAGCAAAGAAAATGGAGGGAAAGACAATATTCGGTTACATCAAAAGGAGCTTCAGAGAAGACGCTGAGGAACTTCTATGCAGGGGAGGAAAATTTGCAAATTAAGTAGACAAGCTGAAAATTGCATGAGACCCACTTCAAAATCTCTTTAGAAATTATTGCGACCACATCTGAGTGAGAAGGAAATAGGCCGGGGTAAAGAATGAGGAACAGTCCTCTCCTATTATGTAAGTAATATTTCCACCGTGAAGTATATTCTGGGGCGGGCAGAAATTAGATTTTCAAGAAAATTTATTTTGTATTCAGCTGGTGAGAAATATATGCAGCTTGGTTGAATCTGTGTGTTTTTTTTAAAGCAGGAAGAAAAGGTGAAGACAACGGCTGCTTTATGCTTGCACGAGAACAAATAAAATATGAAATAAAAATACAGGTTGTGGGATTATCTGTAAAAAAAAAAAAGGGTAAAATTATCAGGGAAATGGCACCTCTCCTATCAAACGATCTGTGGGCTTCGTCCATCTTTGGAGGATATATATATTTTTCCCCTACAGCATAGATTTCTTTTGGACGGCAGCCCCTGGCTCAAGAATTACACCCAGAATGAAAAATAATAAATTCAAACCTAAAGGAAAACAACAATGCGACTGAATGGACTTATGAATGAGCAGATTTCTGCTGTCAAAACAAGAACAAAATCATTCACAATTTCACCCTCTGTTCTCTCCATCCTTCTATTCCTTTGATAAAGTCCAATGTTTTGCCATTTCTCCAAAGTTGTCTTCCTCGGGGAAAGGCTCCTGATTTTCGTGGAGAAATTTATTTCACATTTTTGGAAAGGAAGTGGTTTGTTGGAGGGAGGAGGAGGAAGAGGAAGAAGAGGAAGAGGAAGAGGAGGAAGACTGTAGGTCCTTATTGCTCTCTGAGGTTGATAGTTTTCTTGCAGACGTTTCATGACCCAACTAGATAACTTCATCAGTCCTAGGAGGGAGGGGGGTTGCAGAGAGGAGGAGGAGGAAGAAGAGGAGGACAGCAGGGTCCTGGGTGCTCTCTGAGGTGGGTTGTTTTGACGATTTGCAATAGGGCAGAATCTTTCGGTGACCGAGCCAGGAACGCTGTGCAGCTCAGAGGCATCATGAGGTCTAGTCACATGATCGTTGCTTCTAATCAGAGGCAAGTCATCCATGCTTTTTGCAAGCATCCAGTTTATCCGAGTCTCCTTTGTGCCAGAGTTTGGGACCTCTTTTCCCTTTCTGAATCTCCAGCCTAAGAAAGCAGCTTATGACATGCACCTCGAAACTATTATAAATGCACGCAGCATAAATAACCCCAATTTATCTTTGAGGTTATCGGGAAAAAACCACTGTATTATTAATGCCGGGTTTAGGAAATGTTCTGATTAAAGCTGAAAGGAACTATAAATTGTCAACGTCCCAGCTAACTAGGCAGGAAAAGGAGCTACTTTGCACCCTGTCAGCAAAATTCAAATGAAAAAGCCCAATGAATTAAAGGGCAATAAACTTTTTAAAAAGCTTGCTTGCCCTTCCTTTAAAACATTGTCAGAAAGCCAGAATGGCAAAGAGTTTCTTTTCAAAGAAAGATTTAAAAGATGGGAAGTACAAGCATCCTCTCTGAAGAAAGTCCAAATTGTTGTAACTACAACCGTCCATAAATAAATACAATTCCCAGACAAGAAAAATCTACTTTTTTGTGACTTAAAAGCTGGAATTATTAGTCTAAAGAGGAGCAGAAGAACAGAAAACCAGGAGCAGGAAAATTAGCAGCACATGATCAATACAGGATCTCCAACTAAATAAAGAGAGGATAATGTTTGTTTTATTTTTTTAAGATTTATATCTTGCTTTTTTCTCCAGAAAAATGCGGATTGCAGGAATTGGGAATGTCTAGTCTAGAGAAAAGAAGGACTAGGGGAGACCTGAGAGCACTCTTCCAATATCTCAGGGGCTGCCACAAAAAACAGGGGGTCCACCTGTTCTCCAAACCACCTGAGGGCAGGAGAAGAAGCAACGGATGGAAACTAACCAAGGAGAGAAGCAACCTGGAACTAAGGAGGAATTTCCTGACATCGTGTTTCCCCAAAAATAAGACCCTGTCTTATATTTTGTTTTGAACCCTGAAATAAGAGTTTGGCCTTATTGCTATGCACTCAAAAGCCCAATTGGGCTTATTATCAGAGGTTGTCTTATTTCGGGGGAAACAGGGTAGTTAGAACAATTAATCAGTGGAACAATTTTTCTCCAGAAGTTGTGAACGCTCCAACACTGGACGTTGTTAAGCAGAGATTGGACAACCATTTGACTGAAATGGTCTAAGGTCTCCTGCTTGAGGAACGGGGTTGGACTAGAAGACCTCCAAGGTCCCATCCATCCCTAGGATTCTATGATTCTGAGAGAGATAAAGTACATGATAGAGATATGGATGGATGGATGGATGGATGGATGGATGGATGGATGGATGGATGGATAGAAGAGCTTGCCTCCAGAGATTGTGGATGCTCCATCACTGGAGGTCTTCAAGAAGACATTGGACAGCCACTTGTCTGGAATGGTGTAGGATCTCCTGCTTGAGCAGGGGGTTGGACTAGAAGACCTCCAAGATCCCTTCCAACTGTGTTATTCCATTATTCACTGGAGGCCTCGTGTGTTGAACAGCCTCTCTTGGTTTTCCCCCTGGAGACATGAAGATATTTCCAAACAAACATCTGGATAACTCACCTGCAATGTTATTATTTTGCAAGAATAACCAACAAGGACAATTCTTGGTGACAGGTTTTGTTGACAGCGTGCTAAACATCCCTCTGTTTTTGTGCGATAAGGACACGGATCGTTTTCACACCTAGATGGACCCTCGGAAAGAAACACAATCATCCCGCTTGCTCCCGTCGCATTTGGTGGGGGCAGAAATATTAAGAAACAAGCCATTAATGAATTGTAGAAAATGAACTGTACATTCCCGGCATCGATTCTCCAAATTGCGCCTTGTGTGTCTTTCAAGGCAGAGAGGAAACACGGATGAAATTGTATTTTCCACCGTCCCATTTCCACTGAATGAGCTTGGCTGATGCCCGCAAAGCATCAGCGGTGAAATATTTTACCTATTTTAATTTTCTCATCCACAACCTGGATGCAGCGAGGCTCTTGACTTTAATTCTTTAAATTCAGAAAGCCGAGGACATAAAAGGAGGAGGAACTTCTGTTCTCCTTTCCCACATCAGCCACAACAAAAGGATCTTTGTGGGGGGAAAAATATATATATAAGACTTTTTCAATGGCTGCCTTTCATCGCTTTATTAATAGCACAAAAAGGAATTTTCTTCACCCTTTGACAATTCCTGGCCTCTTTTCTCCGTCTCCCTTCTTATCACCTGAGCTCACATCCCAGCAGCCAGATTCAAGATTTTAAAAATGTGTTGATTTTGGGGTAGGTTTTTTCCCCCTTCCCTGCGACGTGAGGATCCCATCTGCTGGCTGAACCCCTGCAGGCTTCAGACAAAGGATTTCACTAATGCACTGATGATCTTCCCTACTTGGGTCATGAAACGTCTGCAAGAAAAACCACCAAGCTTGGAGAGCACCAAGGACCCCACAATTGTCATTGTCTTCCTCCTTCTCTTCTCTCCTCCATCCTCCCTCCCTCTCTCGCTCCCTCCTCCTCCTCCTCTTCTTCTTCTCCTCCTCCTCCTCCTTCTCCTCCAACCTTCCTCCCTAGCACTGATAATGTTCCCTAGTTGGGTGATGAAATGTCTGCAAGAAAAACCACCAGACCTGGAGACCCCACATTCCCATTCCTCCTCTTCTCCTTCTCCTCCTCCTCCTCCTCATCTACTCTGCAAACCGCCTCCCTTGTAGCACTGATAATGTTCCCTAGTTGGGTCATGAAACGCCTGCAAGAAAAACCACCAAGCTTGGAGAGCACCCAGGACCCCACAGAGACTACCAGATCCAAACTGATAAATAGACTTGCTCTCTCCCTCTCCCTCTCCCTCTCTCTCTCCCTCTCTCTCTCCCTCTCACTCCCTCTCTCTCTCCCTCTCACTCTCTGTCTCTCTCTGTCTCTCTCTCTGTCTCTCTCTCCCTCCCTCTCTCCCTCCCTGCATGCCCCTCTCTCTCTCTCTCTCTCTCTCTCTCTCTCTCTCTCTCTCTCTCTCATGTGCTTCAAAGCAATCAGCTGTCCAGGGTCTGTGGAGACAGCTTGATCATTAAGCCCAGTTAAGCTTGAACAAGCATTTCTGTAGTTAATACAAAATTCCCCTTCCTGGTACGAACAGGCTAATTACAGGAAAGTTGCCACTGACTACTTAAATGGCTGGACAAGTTAAATTCCTGGGCTGTGACCTTTGCAGTTTCCCCACAAGGAATCGAGGCTCCCTGCAAACGGGGGCTGTCTTTTAAGTTGGCGTGAAAACCTTCATTTGTTTAAGGTTTAATTTTGCAATTGGACTGTTTTCCTAAACGGCCTAGGAAGTTGCATTCAAGAAGGTGATTTTGGCACGTCATTCAATTACAAATAATTTAATCAGCAAACCAGGGGGGGGAAAGTATAAACCAACTCCAGCTTTCCTGCTTGAGCAGGGGGTTGGACTAGAAGACCTCCAGGGTCCCTTCTAACCCTCTTATCCTATCTTTTATGTCTCTAGGTGAGATTCTTGGGCATTCCCTGTGTGTTGCTAACACCCTACAGAAAAAGCCTCATGAAGTTTAAGAACCATAATACCCTGGTTTTTGGAGGAGGAAATGCACACCTTTGGAAGGATCTTGCTCAGAAAGATTTGGCCCAAAGAGAAAGTCCTTTGTGCAAAGAGAGATTCAGAGGCGAGCCGAGGAGATTAAATAGGATCTAGGAGATTTGATGGAATCAACCAGCAGCTGGCTGAGAACGCCTGCCTCATAACTGGTTTTTCTTTTTCTTTTTTTCCTTCTGCAAAGGCTGCCAAATCTTTGATCCTGCATCTTGGCAAAAGGGGTGGAAGCGCTTAATTGGCACCGGATTAAGCTGGCAAGAACAGGATTATTAAAACACCCTTGATTTTCCCCCTGAAATAAACAACAGACACAACCACACATCCGCTGGACTTCCCAGGACACAGTCGTAGCCAGATCTGAAAGTCTCCAGGGGTTTTGTGTTTTTTTGAGCCCCAAAGAAACAAGAATAGCACACAGAGTTACTTCTGTAGTCCTCAACTTACCACAGTCTGTTTACTGACTGTTTGAAGTTACAACAGCACCAAAAAAATGGACTTAGGACCGTTTTTCACACTTACGACCGTTGTGCCAAAGGCCTGGCAACTGACATGTACTTATGACTGTTGCACGGGGTCACATGAGACCCTTTTGCGACCTTCTCTCGAGGAAAGTCAATGGTTCAGTTCACGGCTTAGCTCCTGAAGCCATTCACTTAACAACCGTGGAAAAAGAGGTCGTAAACAAGAAAAGTGTGTCTTTAATATTACGTGTCTTAATAGCAGCGAGGATCGTTTTCAGACAATACTGGAAAAATGAAGA